TATGTTTTGTTAACTCTCAAATTTAGAGGCCTAGTGATTTTCTTTAGGATAAATAATCTGCCGAGAATGTAATAAAAACCATGAACCTTCCTAGAACACAAATGCATGTATGTACACATACACACAATCCATGTTTAGACTATACCTCTCTCTTTAGTGACAGAATAAATAATAAAACCTGAAAATTCTAACTTTACCCTGTCACTGAAGCAACTTTAGGTTGTTGGGAAAGTCAGGATTCACTTTTCCACAGAAAAATACGTCATGACTTTCCTGATGACCCAATATATCTCACAATCAGCTTGTATGTGACTTTAGTGACATTACCACCACTGGCTTTGGGGCACTTTTAAAACACAGCCAGAAAGGTTTGGAATTACACATCAATTCCCTGTCCTGTGGTTGCCTAAGAACTGGTTAGTCCTCTGAAACCACCAGTTCAGATCCCTGACTGACTGGGTTTCTAGGTAAAAGGGAGGGTCTCATCCAGGCTTAAATAACCAACCTGTCTACATCAGTAGCAACTCTCAACTCCACAGTCAAAGGAATCCTGATCTGTCTCTTCCATTTTGTCACCACTCGCTGGAGGGGTACCAACATATGAAAACTTTGCAATGACCACAAATAAGCACAAATGCTCTAGAACAGCACTGCCCTAAGTGTATTTTCACAACACAAATCCCACAAGAAACCTACTCTTAAAAACCCCATTAAAATAAATTAGGAAAATGGTGTATAAAATAGAAGTGCTTATTGGAGGTTGAAAATGTATATTATTAATAGCGTATCAAAGGTTCTGAAAAACCTACAGTAACTCAACCTATTTGGCCAAAGAATCTTCTATTCACATAACAATATACTCTGACAAAACATACCGTTAGGAACTGCTTTTCCAAGGAACTTAAAAAGTTGTTTTTTTTTTTTAAATTATAGTATCGGGAACCAGCAGTTAGCATAATGGCTATGTCGCTGGACTCCCACGTAGTCGACCGCGGTTCATGTCCCGGACCCGGTGGCTTAAAACTCACGCCAGGTGCGTGTGCGTGTGTGCCCAAGATCCCAAGAGGAGAATGGAGGAGAAGGGATTGTGGCGTGACCATCCCCCCTGGGGGGTGATTTCTCGCTTTCTGTCTCTATGTCTCTCTCTGTCTGGCGAGCGCACGCACCCTACAGTGAATATCTCTCCAAAAAAAAAAAAATTATAGTGTAAGTTTAAATGAGGATACAAAAAAGCTTGTTTTCCTGACTTTTTTTTTTTTAAAGAAATTAGTTTATTTTGCTATGATTAATAGCCAACCACATTCCCTTCTCTACTCACAAATATCCAAATCAAGGTCACCCTTTCAAATCATAGTGTTCAAGAGGGTTAATTCTGTTAAATCAAACTATATTGATTAGAATTGGGCAGTTATAAGGGTCCAAGAAGGCCTATGGACTCGCATACTTGAGTGCTTGTAAGCAAGTCACAGCCTAACTTAGGAGTCTGTTTCAGTAACTGAGTCACAGCCAATCACCTCAGCATGCTTCTGGATCACAGCTGGCCCACTTTTTAAACTGTGTTCAAACAAGGAAATTCCAAACTGTAACCAATCCAGCTGTTTGTTTACCTCAATTTCCTGGTTTCCATTTCCTTTTCCTGTCCATAAATGTAATTTGACTACATGGCAAACGAGTTCCTCAGAACCAGTTCTAGTAGCTGTTCGATTCTAATCTCTCTTTGCAAATTAAACTGTTGAGTTTTATTTTGTCTCAAATTTTTTGTTTTAACAATTTTTATCAGTATTCCATAGCATACTTATCTGGGAAAAAAAAATTATATTCTGTTTAATTCCTAGAGTACCTTTTTATCAATCACAATTTAAGTTGAGGACGAGTAACATAGTCTCCTAGCAAACACTAACCCCCTAACAAAAGTTTATGGGCTAAATTATTTTGTAAACTCTTAAAAACAAAAACAAACTCCATCCTGGTATCTTTGTGAAAATTAGCAGTTTGAAAATTAAACGTCAATGAAACCTTTGAAGATAATGGGATTACCAACCTACTGAGCTATGATTTAATGTAACTAACAACACATTTCTTAAAATCTACTTAATATAAAAACATTGAAAAATAAATGTTAATTCCACAAGCTAAATGGCAAAAAAAAAAAAAAAAATTATTAATGCCAAGAAAATACACAAAAGATCATTATCACAACCCAAATGTTCTCTGTTGCTCTGCTCAGGACTTTAAAGCCAAGACAAAGTCAATTACTAAATCCCGTTGAACTTAAAACAAAATGCTCGGGAACCAGCAGTGAGCGTAATGGCTATGTCGCTGGACTCCCATGTAGTCGACCACAGTTCGCGTCCCGGACCCGGTGGCTTAAAACTCATGCCGGGCGCATGTGCGTGCGTGCCCAAGATCCCGAGAGGAGAATGGAGGAGAAGGGATTGCGGCGTGACCATCCCCCCTGGGGGGTGATTTCTCGCTTTCTGTCTCTATGTCTCTCTCTGTCTGGCGAGCGCATGCGCCCTATAGCAAAAACCTCTCCAAAAAAAAAAAAATGCTCACAAATATGTCACACCTTCTTCATTAAAGAGTGGTCTTGGGGCTGGCAGGTAGTATAGTGGGTGGGGCACTGCGCTCCCACATGGTCAACTACAGTTCAAATCCTAGATCTGGCAGCTTGCTTTCTCACTTTCCCTGTCTGTGTCTATCTGGTCAAATCAAAAAATAAATAAAATTCAATAAAGATAATTCTAAAAAAAAAAGGAAAGAAAAAGAGTGCTCCTAGTATCTCATCATACTACGCATCTACAGAGATCATAAATACAAAGCAAAAAACTGCCACATGGAGAGGCAGAAGAACTTTTCCAAAATATGTTTATCCTCAAATATAAACTCAAGTAAAATATAAAGAAAAAAATTAATTAGAAACATAAAATCAGAGTATTTTTTTTTCTATCCTAGGGAAAAGAAGTTCTTAGCTTTAGGTTGTTTTTTCTTTTCTGGTAAGGCAGAAAATAGATCTTTTTTGTTTCACTTTGTTTTGTTTTGTTTTGCTGTAGGGTGCATGTGCTTGCCAGAGAGAGACAGAGAGGGCAAGTGAGAAATCACCCCCCATAGGGGTAATGACAGTCACTTCTCCATTCTCTTCCTGGGATTTTAGGCACGCATGCACACGTGCCCAGCATGTTTTCTCAAGCCATGGGGTCCGGGATTTGAATGGTACAGTTGGTGGATCCAGTGCCTTAACCACCATGCCACCTGCTGGCCCTAAAATAGATCTTCAGATAAACCAAACTAAAGAATGAAATAAAAATTATATTTAACTTACCTTATGTATTTATCTGCAACTGAGTATTACGTTTGGAGCACTAAACTTTAAATCATAGTTTAGAGATAATGATAAATTTACTCTACTGAATATACTTAATAATAAAAAAAAATTATCTTAAATAATTACAGACTTACAAGAAATTCCAAAAACAGTAGAGAAATCCCAAACAGAAGACTCAGTTTTCTGTCTTTATATTTAAACATTCATATTTTGGCTTTAAAGGAGTGGGGCCAGCAGTTGGAGTGGTGGTTAAGGCACTAGACTACCGCATGGCTGATCACAGTTTGAACTCCGGACCCGGAGACTTGAAAGTCATGGCGAGCATGTATGCATACATGCCCAAAGTCCTGAGAGGAAAATGGAAGAGTGGAGATTGCGGTGTGGCCACAATCACCCCTGTGGCGTGATTTCTCACTTTCACTAACACACGCTCTCTCTCTCCAGTGAACACATGCACTCTATGCCAAAAACCTAAAAAATAAAATAAAAAGGTAAAAGGGTTAAAATTTTTAACAGTTTATAAAAAACTGACAAAATTCTAACAGACCTGGTAAATCTTCAATCCGCTAGAACCCCCAAAATAATATAAACACACCTAAGTTGAAATTCAATTTGATTATTAATGCCACACTTTTGTGTGGTCAAGAGAAAGTTCTGAGAACCAGCAGTTGGTGTTATGGTTACATAGCTGGACTCCCGCATAGTAGACCATGGTTCGAGTCCTGGACCCAGTGGCTTAAAACTCAGGCCAAGTGCGTGTGCATGCATGCCCAAAATCCCAAGGGGAGAGGAGGAGAAAGGATTGCAGCATGGTCATCTCCCACGTGGGGGCAATTTCTTGCTTTCTGTCTCTCTGGTAAAGACACACATCCTATAGCAGACAGTTCTCTCAAAAAAAAAAAAAAAAAGGAGAGAGAGAGAAAAGTTCTGAAGAAATTATATCCTCAGCGCTCCTTATTGTTATTTAAATAATCTTCTGAATGACTGATAACAGTTTGCTCATGGAGAATCCTTATGCTCTTAGAATTACCTGGATAATTTTAAAAATCTTATACTATCAACAAACACAAACATGTTCCCTTTTATCATATTATCCTCCATCATCACCTCCAAAAGACAGTGGCTCACAGTTTTGTTCAAAACTATGGACCATTTATCCCAGCAAACTCCAACATTTTCCAACACATATCCTGATCACAAACCCTCTGTCCAGTTTAAAAATTATTTCTTTCCAAAAGCTTCCTATATATGTGGCTGGTCCCCAAAGTAGTTTGTGTTCAATTATAGCTCCCTTCCATCTCATGTGCTTATGGAAAAAAAGCTCAACTAAGTAGCCCAAAATATAAATTCTCACTTACCTAAATCATATTTTGCATCTGAGGAAAGTCAGTCTGGAAGTATCATGGAACGCCAAAAAGCAAATAAATCATATGTATAGTCATCCTCTCTACTTAAAAGGACAAGTACTTGTTATTCTAAAATTACTTCTTTTAATTAAAATTTCAATACATGATGGGGACCAGCAGGTGGCGTGGCGGTTAAGGGGCTGGACACTCCCACATGGCCGACCACGGTTCAAGTCCAGGACCTGGTGGCTTGCTTTCTCACTTTCCTCTCTCTCTGTGTCTTTCTCTGGTCAAATTAAAATGAATGAATGAATTAATTAATTAATGATTAAATAAATAAATAAATCTTTTTAAAAATTTTTCAATACATGAAACATTACAGTATCTTCTTGGCTGAAGTAAGAACATGATCTCCCTTCCACATTTGTATAAAAACTTAAACATATGTGTTTCTTCCTTGTGGACAGTAGTTTTATTGAAAGAAAAACTTACATAATCCCCTATTATCTTTTGACCATGCCCATAGAAAAACTTGGGAGTTAAATTTACCATTCAACCTTTGAATATATTAGTGTTAATATAGTTCCTTCTCCTATAAATTTCTTTATTTTTTCAAAACGAGGTTGGGGGAAAACTAATTATAATCATCCTGTTTTACATGTGCATTACAATTGTAAACCACTTCAAATGCTTTTTGGAAACTTTAATATAAATCATAATTGAAAATGACTAACCATCACAAAAGATGCCTGATTAATGGGCTAACTATCCTTCCCCAATATATATCAATTTTGGAGGACAATAAAGTGTCATGGTCATGATTTTCAATATAAAATACTCAGATTTCAAATTGCTGGATTCTAATAACCTGCCTTTGAAGATGAACAACACACACATACACACACGCACGTGCACACACATGTGCACAGACATACCTGTTGTAGAAGTAATTTGAAACACACTAGGTACTTTCCCAAACATGTGAACACAATTTTGAAGATAATCATGTTTCTAATTTCGTTAAAACTTTCAAGAACAAATATTTACAATGACTTAAAGACTCCTGCATAAATAGCTACCTAAATACAGAACAAGTTGGGAGGATGTGGGTCAAACATAGCTGAGCTCCAGTCAGCTCAAATTAGGTGAGTCTCTTGACTACAAAGCTATTCTTAACACATGAGTTTCTGCAGGACTTGATAAGGCTTGCTGAGCACCATGGTAATCTTTTAAGACACTAATCAAAAACATGGTCCTATATTTTTAAAAACCCAGAAGTGGTTTTAGGACAAGACAGGCACCTCAGCCACTAAAATAAGCAAATTTCTATTTAAGTGAAATTACCACACAGCAAAACCATTAATAGTTTGGCAACTAATAAATAGAAAATATTCTTAAAAATCTGCTATTTTTTTACTATTCCTTTGGATTTTTCAACCATAGTTAAAATATATGGAAAATAATTGTCTATTAGAAAGCTTTTGACCATGTGATGTTTCTTATGAAAGAATACTGGCCTGAGCCACACATGGAGAACTCAGACCAGATGCACTGCAGGTACTTCTATTACTCTGGCCATGGGCTCCTCCTGAGTAGTGTCTAGCAACTGGGCAAGTTTCAATAAGAATTCACAGCCTAGCATAATAACGATGACCACCATATTCCGTTCTCCTGGAATCCAGATAAGAAAGAAAGTAACTCGAGTTAAACATGTACTGTAAATACACAGGTCTAAAGCTGTCACACTCACCCAGTGAACTAAATGAGCCCTTGCTAACCTATACTGAACACATTAGCAAACAGTAATATGACACTGAAGTGCATCTCATCAAGCGCAGTGAGTATCAGATGAACATTATAGGTAACCACAGTGAATATACATGTGTGTGTGTGTGTGTGTGTGTGTGTGTGTGTGTGTGCATGTGATACTAAACTCCCAAAAATTGGACGTAGGAGAGCATAATTAAAAACCACATTCCTCATTACTCTTTAAAGTTAAATACAGGCTTATCTACTGAAGCAATTTAATTTGTATTTTTCGTAGTTCCTAAACTACGCATCAGATTTCTAAACAGAAGAAAAGAGCCTCAGCCAAGGAGCCACATATTAGGAATTCATACTGGTCTAAGAAAACTAAGTTAATAAACTGAATAAATTAACTTGAATAAATTACAAGTGCACATTCAGAACAGAATTGCAGCTTCTGGTCAGTAACATGTGAACCAAAGGCAAAAATCTGCCCAGATTAAGGCAGGTTTTTTGTTTGTTTCTTTGTTTTTTATATACAGTACAATGTGTTTTCTTCCCCCCACCCACACCCATTAAGTGCATTTAGCATTCACTTTGATGTTATTTAAAATGCATTGCCAAGCTAGAATACAAGCTTCTTAGTTTTTTTTTCTTTCTTTCTTTTTTTTTTTTAAAAAGATGTCATAGAAAGGTCCTCTTGTTTTAGTCTTCCTTATACCTATTCATGCTGTTTTCTTTTGCCTTCACACACTTGGTGTAAAAGATTACTGCGACAATCATATGACTTTGGCCACAAAGCATCACAACTGTCAAGGTGACAGTCGTAAAGAATTACTTTCTTCTTCTGCTGGAGTCAACTTAAGTGTTGGCAATTTCCGAGGAGGAAGCTGAGGGCTTTGGCGAAGATTGTCATCCATCTGTAGAAAGTACAAAAGACACATCTGACTAATGCGGTGGCACCATTTCTGTGGACTGTGGCCTCCCCATCCAAACTATAGCCTAGAAGAGTACAGAACCATATGTTTCTAGAACTGCTAGAAAACCTTTTTCTTACAAATAACTCAAGAATTCTAAATGTCATACCTCAAATACCAGCTGACTCATATCCGTAAAAAGCAATGTGGCTCATCCTTGATACCTTCACAAAATTTTACTAATTTTACAAACGAATATTCTACTAAACTCAACTATAGCTTGATTTAGTTTAAGAAGGACTCTAATAGTGTAAAAGCAAAAGTTTTCTTACACTAAGTTCCACACTGAGATACAAAGTATCTTCACTTATGGTACCTCATTTAACCTCCCCAAAACCCTGTGAAGACAAAAAGGCAGACACGGTCCTCCTCTATTCTCAGATCAGCAAAGAGGCTCAGAAAGGCTAAGCACTTTGTCCCAGGCCACAGCTAGGATCAGAGTTAAGACTTGAATCCAGGTCTTTTAACACTACTGTTCTTTAAACTACACCTCTTTGCCTCAGGACCTGTACTCCACTCAAAAAGATGAGCTCTTCTTAAACTGGGAGTGTGAAGATCAAAGGAAGTTAGAAGAGGCAGAATAAATTCCTTAGACCTAATCCAGAAATCTCCCAAATACTAAATCGGTTATAAACCTATCTTAGAGAAACAAATTAATATGGAGCATACTAAAAAAATGCCCAAGAATTTCAGACATGCTCTAAAGAGAAGGGCATCCCTAGAAACACGGGGATTGGGATTATTTAGAACTAAATTAGATCACAGAAAATTACCTTTAACCAGAGTACCCCACAAACAAAGTAAAAGATTCAGGCCCTAGTGTTGAGTTTGCTAGGAGCTTAACTTCATAAAAGACTTGAAAGCAGCAGCTGCCATCAAAAACACAAAGCCAGGACGAGCAGTTGGTGTAATGCCTGTGTCGCTGGACTCCCACGTAGTCAATCGCGGTTTGTGTCCCGGATTCAGTGGCTTCAACTCAATGCCAGGCGCATGTGTGTGCGTGCCCAAGATCTCGAGAGGAGAATGGAGGAGAAGGGACTGTGGTGTCGCCATCCCCCTTGGAGGATGATTTCTCGCTTTCTGTCTCTCTCTCTCTCTCTCTCTCTCTCTCTCTGTCTGTCTGGCAAGTGCCTGCACCCTATAGAAAAAAATTTCTCAAAAACAAACAAACAAACAAACAAAAAAACACGAAGCCAACAGAAAACAGTATACTACCCACTTGGTAAGCAGGCTCCTCTTTTAGAGTTCTGCATACATGCAGAACACCTCATAACTCTCCCTTATCCTCTCAAGAGGTTCATATAAAAGCAGAGAACTGTTTTAACAGCAATACACAGGATTTGTAAGAAAGAATACAGGATAAAAATTCAAGTTTTAGTATGCAAGTATCAAGAAATATTCCTGAACTATTTAAATCAATTGTTAAGATGTCTTTTTTTTTTCAACTAAGTACCTCAATAATCATTTTCTTTGTTTCAGCTCTAAATTTTGTCCAAATTTTGTGTAGTAGTCGTCCATGGGATTTGTGACAGCAGTGTCTTGCCCACTAAAGAGCAAGTATGAATAAGTGGGGGGCAGAGGAAGGAAAGTGCCTGATAAAATGGGCTAGGAAACTGATACACTGAGGACGATCCAAGACAGTTTAGTGTAGTGACAGGACCTGTGGTTTCACCTTCTGTATGTGTATATGTACTGTATTCTGTATATGTTTTTCATAAATTTGTCACATACAGAAAATGAAAATTACAGTGGATAACCTGCATTAGGCAGAGGAAGGAATCTTTCCTTTATTCACAAAGTTAACACTTAATGTATTCCTTCTTAGGAAATTTACTGGATTGAGCTAAGAATTAGACCAAAACTAGCTAACCAAAATTAGCTAACCAAAACTTCAATAATGAACACTTACAATTTTACTGACTTGCTTCTCAAATTATGATATATGAAACACTACAAAAAGAGATATGAAGTATTACAAAAAGAAACCAAAAGTCGCCCGTCTGTTTGACAAGTCTGACACCTGACTACCAGCACCACTGGCAGCAGACACCTAAACTCATCCATGAGCTAGACAGCTGCAACCTTCTTACACTTTTCCAACTAGAAAACTCTCCCTTGAAATGGCCATTTTTGGCGCTCTCCCCTACCCTGTGCCTCAATCTCTCTCTGACAAAATCAATATTCCAGAGTAGAGAAATATCTACACTGGTGAAAACTACGGACTTCACATTTTAAAAGAGAGAAAGAAAAAAAAAAAAAAAAAAAGCTCATGCAGTACTTTTGAAACAGGAGGGGACTGAGGCAAGAGATACTCCAAATGCCTACAATAAACCTTAAAAGCAAGATGGCTAAAAGACTAGGTCTGAACCAGCTAGAACCAAGATGGTGCCTGGAACAACTTCTGCCTAACCTTCAAACTCATTCTACCCTCATTGCACTTTAGCATGTTAGATGACACTCCCACCTGTGCCATGAGAGTTTGGAATAACCATGACATTGACCAGAACTACCCTGGGAAGGCCAGAAAATGGGAAGGATAGTAGCTCCAGGAAAACCACTGACCCTGTTCCAGAGAAGTCGTGAATAAATTGCCCCTCACTAGCCAGACACCCATCGAAGTCTGAGGCAGCCCTGCCTGTGGGGCAGCCCTTCTGCCTTTCCCTTCAGGTAAGAGTTCTCTCTTTCCTCTCGAAGGAAGGAATGAAACTGTTCACCTTTCTCCTTTCCTAGTCTACCTATGGAGTAGTCCACTCTGTGAGCTTTCCTTAATAAATCTGCTTTCACTTGCCTTCAAAGGCTTGCTCTGGAATTCTTTCCTGCCTGAAGCCAAGGAGCCTCACACTCCAGCTAGAGACCCCCCCCCCCCCCCCAAGTTGAGCCTTTCTGGTAACACTATCAATAAAGAGTAAGGAATCTCAAGAAATGTTAACCTGCTTACAATCTCAAGAAATGCGAGTTTCAGAAACACTGAGGGGCAGACAAGCCAGTAAAAAGTGTTTTCTTTATTTTTATTTTTTTTTTTTGGTCAATCTTTTGTGTCTCCTAGCTTAACAGTATTAATTGTGTCGAAAAGTAAACCCAATTACCATTATCTGTTCTTTCCCCATAGCAACCAGGCCACTACCGGCTTCAAAACATTGTATTATATACAACTTTAATCAAAATAAATTTAAACAACCTTTTATAAGTAAAATCTTTTAACAAAACAAAGAGGGTAAAGGTAATACATGACCAAAATTGCAATATTAGCTGCAGAACAGAAAATACTAAACTACAATAAAATAATGATTGAAGTAAATTTGACCTTTTCAATCAAGTTGGATTCCTTATTTACAAGCTGTGTGAGTTTCTGCAGATTTGCATCTACCATTTCTTGTCCAGCTGGAGAAATGCCTAAGAAGCCAGGACAGAATCAGAAAGAGGACATTTTGAAAGACTTTAAAGCAGTTTAGACTAAAAGAATTTTGAGACTACCCAACCTCCCAAGTGCTCCACCCTTCACACACACACAAAAATAAGTAAAGAGAAAAACCCTCTTGTGTTCAAGATACAGTAATGCTCCAAAACCAAAACCCTCAACAACTGGATTAGTTTGCCTGCCAGGCAGACACTGTTAGCCAAGTGTTATGCAGCTAGCCACAGTAATTAGTAAAAGAGCATAGCAGCCTTCATTCCTACTCAAATTCAAGTTGCACCTTTTCAAACACTGGAGGACTTTGGTCACAATTATCTTTCCAAAGCAGTGACTCCCAGATAGCTACCAACAAGGCATTCAGAGTAGTCAGAGACATACAAAACACAGATTCCAGGGCCACCAGGTGGCATGGTGGTTAAGGCACTGGCTTCCCACATGGTTTACTGCCATTGAAGTTCCGAAACTGGCTTGAAAATCATGCCAGGAGTGTGTGCATGTGTGCCCAAAATCCCAGGAGAATAGAGAAGGGACTGAGTGTGGCCACCCCCACCCCCAGGAGATGATTTCTCATTTTCTCGCTCTCTCTCTCTCTCTCTCTCTCTCTCTCTCTCTCTCTCTCTCGTGAGAGTACTATGGCAAAAACCTAAAACAAACAAACCCCACAGATTTTTGGGATCTATTCCTAAGACATTCTAATTTAATAAGTCTGGAATGGAACTCAAGAGTTTTTAACTTGTCATGTAGTCACGTTGTCTAGCCACTACCCTAGAGTAACAATGTTGAAAATTACTTAATTTCATGACTCCCAAACTACTAACCCTTCCCTATACACAAAACATATCACCTGCCATGAAAAAATAAATTATCCACCTAAGCCAACTATCTTTATAACTTCTGTTTCTTAAAAGGGCAATTTTGGCCAACTCTCCCAATACAAATTTAGTATTCCGAACGTCTAAGCACAAGAATCATACTGTAAGTGACAGGCACCCTCCATTTACTATACCTCCGTCTGATGCAATCAGTTTTCAAGCAGTGGAATCATGGGAGTGTACCTCACCAAAATCAATCTGCTGCTGATTTCTGTTCATGCAGGAAAATGCTAGAAGCAGCAGGTAAGAATCATTTAAAGTATTTGCCTATTTGCATTAGAATAGACACTATTTTTTAGCAGGAATTCAATACTCATGTTTTGTTTTGTTTTGTTTTGTTTTGTTTCCCCTAGAAGAAAAGGACACACTTCAAAGGGGCAATTATTTGAAGGACAAGAAGAATTTGTAAAAGTGCAACTTCTTCAAGTGCTATAAGCCAGTACTTAAATACCCACACTTTTGTGTTAAAATAAGTAATCCATTTTGCTTATGTATCCTTACGAGAATATGCAAATGCCCGATGCAAACATTAGCTGAAGAAGAACAGCCTTACCTCCGAGACTCAGCCTAAAATAACTGTCTAGGATGTCATCACAAAAGCGACACAGGTTGGAGAGCTGTTTCAGATGTTCTTGTAGCTGAACTTTAGGAAATCGTACTTTATAAAGAGGTGCAAGAAAACCAAAAACATAGGCATCCAAGGTAGAAGGTCTAGAAATGAATTAAGGATTTTGTTTAAAGCACATAGAAAATTATTAACTTAGAATTGTCTTCAGATTATTTTTTCAAATACGTGTGTCAGTTCTGAAGTACACAGTCTTTTTAAAGATGTAATATCCATTGTAGTTTAAAAAAGATGCAACTAGAGTTTTATTCATTAAGTACTTTCTTAAATATTCTAACCATTTGTTTTATTTAGAAGAAAATGAAGTTGTAAATTATAGGTTCATTTTAACTCGTAAGTGTTAGACTAGAGGCAGGACAGAAATAGTCTTAGCTTGCTTTTTGCTGAGGGTCACATTGAGCTGCGAGCTGCGAGTTGCTGCAGGGGCGTCTTTAGGAGTCAGCACCATGGCAGAAGACATCAAGATCAAAATCAAGAACTACAAGACTGCCCCTTTCGACAGTCATTTCCCCAACCAGAACCAGACCAGGAACTGCTGGCAGAACTACCTGGACTTCCACCGCTGTGAGAAGGCAATGACCGCTAAAGGGGGTGTCGTCTCTGTGTGCGAATGGCACCGGTGTGTGTACAAGTCCCGCTGCCCCATATCCTGGGTTTCAACCTGGGATGACGGCCAGGCAGAAGGCACATTTCCTGGGAAGATCTGAACTGGCTTCACCCACCTCTCCTCTGCCCTCCATCCTTGTCTCAGGTGGCAAAATGGGACCTGGGTACATGGTTATCCACCCATGTACCACCCTGGGACCTTGAATCATAACTTAACTAATAAAAGTTTCCAATAATAAAAACCCATTAAATCCTTAGGTAAAGTGAAAAATCCACCTTTTAGGGACACAAGGAGACTTGTTTTAAATAACTGTTCACTGAATATATGAGCATAAAATATCACAATAATTTTTAAGGGAATGTACTCACGTATCTCCAAAGAAAAACTGAGATGTTCCCAATCTGTTTGACAGAAGATTTAGGCACTCCTTGGCATCTCTGTATATCTAATAAGGAGGAAACTGGATCTCAGAAGTCGGAAAGATGCTCTAAAACTACTTTTGAGGCAGACATCTCCCTCGTCTCTTCTCTGGAAAGCCTTGCCTGTAAAGTAATCTAGGTCATACCTGTGCTTCCACTTCACAGAGGTGGTAATGGGGAGGCTCCCCTCTGGTCAGCAGAATCCTGTTCAGTGCTCCTTTAGACATTCTCCCAGGCAGGATCAAACTCAAGGGAAAAGGAATTCGTGAAGCAAACCATGGCTTTGTCACAGTAAAATAATTTTCACTCTCAACCCAGAATGTGTGGAGCTGCAAAGAGAGAGAAAAAAACACTACAAGGGTGTTTCTTTAGTAAAAGAAAGATCATTCTATGTGAATTTCCCATAAATATCTTGATATAAAGCAACCTGATACAAATTTACTTGTTAGAATGACCCAGGGTAAAGCAAGATTATTTTAAACATGTGCGTCTTGTTGACTGTCCTATCTCAGGCACCCAAAACAAGGCATCACACATAGCGAGTACTCAATAAATATTTGTTGAATTGAATTACAATTCATTCAATTCTACATGTGGTGCAATAAGTTACATCTTCCATAAAGTTTTATTTCCAAAACGACATTACCTTTCACTTTGTTGTTTCACATGCTAGTTCAATGTCTAATGGAATCCAGTTTCACAATAATATGAAAGATTCAAGATTAATATACACATGAAATGGCCTCTCAAACCTTGTTCATTGTTTTTCTTCTAAACAGGCTAAGTATATCACTAAAATACTGTAACATTCTGGACACTCACCACTGCTGGGAGAAGCTTCTCTTCAAGGAGAGCAATGTAAGCCAATGTATCCGCCCCTTGTTTTGCTGAGAGTTCATAATCAGCATTATATTTCTATTAAAAAACATAAAACCAAAGAACCTCAGAAGTCAAAGAACATCTCAGTGTTAGTGAAGTTAATCAAACAGGAGTATTATTTTTCCTCACAAATATTATTATTTGACTATATTACATTATTACAGGGGGGAAAGAGACATACAAACCTAGTGAAAACTGCTGCTTACTACACGTAACATTTTTCCCCAACCAGAACCAGACCAGGAACTGCTGGCAGAACTACCTGGACTTCCACCGCTGTGAGAAGGCAATGACCGCTAAAGGGGGTGTCGTCTCTGTGTGCGAATGGCACCGGTGTGTGTACAAGTCCCGCTGCCCCATATCCTGGGTTTCAACCTGGGATGACGGCCAGGCAGAAGGCACATTTCCTGGGAAGATCTGAACTGGCTTCACCCACCTCTCCTCTGCCCTCCATCCTTGTCTCAGGTGGCAAAATGGGACCTGGGTACATGGTTATCCACCCATGTACCACCCTGGGACCTTGAATCATAACTTAACTAATAAAAGTTTCCAATAATAAAAACCCATTAAATCCTTAGGTAAAGTGAAAAATCCACCTTTTAGGGACACAAGGAGACTTGTTTTAAATAACTGTTCACTGAATATATGAGCATAAAATATCACAATAATTTTTAAGGGAATGTACTCACGTATCTCCAAAGAAAAACTGAGATGTTCCCAATCTGTTTGACAGAAGATTTAGGCACTCCTTGGCATCTCTGTATATCTAATAAGGAGGAAACTGGATCTCAGAAGTCGGAAAGATGCTCTAAAACTACTTTTGAGGCAGACATCTCCCTCGTCTCTTCTCTGGAAAGCCTTGCCTGTAAAGTAATCTAGGTCATACCTGTGCTTCCACTTCACAGAGGTGGTAATGGGGAGGCTCCCCTCTGGTCAGCAGAATCCTGTTCAGTGCTCCTTTAGACATTCTCCCAGGCAGGATCAAACTCAAGGGAAAAGGAATTCGTGAAGCAAACCATGGCTTTGTCACAGTAAAATAATTTTCACTCTCAACCCAGAATGTGTGGAGCTGCAAAGAGAGAGAAAAAAACACTACAAGGGTGTTTCTTTAGTAAAAGAAAGATCATTCTATGTGAATTTCCCATAAATATCTTGATATAAAGCAACCTGATACAAATTTACTTGTTAGAATGACCCAGGGTAAAGCAAGATTATTTTAAACATGTGCGTCTTGTTGACTGTCCTATCTCAGGCACCCAAAACAAGGCATCACACATAGCGAGTACTCAATAAATATTTGTTGAATTGAATTACAATTCATTCAATTCTACATGTGGTGCAATAAGTTACATCTTCCATAAAGTTTTATTTCCAAAACGACATTACCTTTCACTTTGTTGTTTCACATGCTAGTTCAATGTCTAATGGAATCCAGTTTCACAATAATATGAAAGATTCAAGATTAATATACACATGAAATGGCCTCTCAAACCTTGTTCATTGTTTTTCTTCTAAACAGGCTAAGTATATCACTAAAATACTGTAACATTCTGGACACTCACCACTGCTGGGAGAAGCTTCTCTTCAAGGAGAGCAATGTAAGCCAATGTATCCGCCCCTTGTTTTGCTGAGAGTTCATAATCAGCATTATATTTCTATTAAAAAACATAAAACCAAAGAACCTCAGAAGTCAAAGAACATCTCAGTGTTAGTGAAGTTAATCAAACAGGAGTATTATTTTTCCTCACAAATATTATTAATTGACTATATTACATTATTACAGGGGGGAAAGAGACATACAAACCTAGTGAAAACTGCTGCTTACTACACGTAACATTAGCACAGGGTCATACACATAATATACTCAATAAATATTAATTATATTTTTTGTTAACTACTATCATTTCAATGTTTGTTAATGACCTAGTTAAGTTCATGGCAGGAAGTACAAATTTAATAAGTAACAGCGATTATTATTTTTAATAAGGAGAAAAAAGTTCCAAGTGATTTAATTTTTCCCCATAGGAGAAAAAAGAAAACAGTCTTCCAATTAGGAGTTTGGAATTTTGACACACACAGCAAATGTTAAGTATTGGCAAAATCAATTGTAATTTTTGCATTCATACCTTTACATACATAAACATTTTCAATGCAGTATGTAAATATTTACTATCCAAACATTTTGGATACATTATTTCATGAAATATCTAAATGCTACTATGGGATAAGTGCTTTTGGAAAATAAAGAGCAGCTAGTTAGTGGGAGCTCAAATGTCATAACCCAGCATAAAATGAACTATGTAATTACATTGACAATCTTAACAATAAGCTTAATCATGAAAATGGCTAGGTTGAATATGTTTACACATAAATTTGAATAAAATCCAAGCAAAGTGCACAAAAATATAAATCGACTATACCTGACCATGACTCTCAAATCACAGTAAAAATCATGATTTACAGCAATGATTCTCAAGTCTATTTTTTTTTACCAAATCCCAGATATCTCCAATTATCTAATGAGTTGGCAAAATGAATTCTAAAAAAAAAACAAACAAACAAAACCAAAATACAATGTATGTATTTAAAGTAATGTGCAGAGATCAGCAATCTTATTTCTTTAGAAGGACCTACCTACCTGTTTTCTTAAAAAGTTTAGTATTCTTGCTGGCTGAGAAACTATGTTGTCTTCAGTTGTCAAAATTGGTACATCTCCTATAATTGAAAAACAGTTTACATTTTGTGATTTCCTCTGAAGAGATTCCAATATCCTAAAAACTATACCAATTACACATTTAGAGAGGGGGAAATGAGTAAGCTCATCTTAATTTTTTGCAGTTCCACAGAGGAATTCTAGAGAACATTTTCATGTCTCATAATTTCCACTGATTTGGCTTGCTCTTTGAGGTATTACTCAGAATGACCAAACCATATGCAACACACAGCCAAGGTCATGGTAAAAAAAAACAAAACAAAACAAACAAACAAACAAAAAATACTAAACCCCAAGGTACTCTATGGCTATACGCCTCATATCTTTAAGAGGAGGAAGCAAAAAAAAAAAAAAAAAAAAAAAACTCAA